CTCAAGAAGAACCACTGATGGAGCCTATGCCCACCGACTCCAGCACGGCTTCATCAGACTCCAAACGGCCAAAGACTCTCCACCCTACTCCTGAACCTGGATTTGTTCGAAGTAGGGTGGCTCAAACTGAAGCCGAACGACTGGAGAGAGAAGCACTCCGTGAGCTCAAAAGACTGGAACGAGAAGAACGCCTGGCGAGAGCTTCTGCTAGACGAGAGCGGACAACTTCATCAACTGGCGCCGCAGCAAGTAGCTCTACGACTCTGAATGACAGCCCCTCGGTTCCACCGGAGGAGCTTCCTATCCCAGAGTCAATCGAGGAGGATCTCATGTCGTTCTTCCACATTGAGGCCTCTGAGGATGGATCATTCCTGGCTGCGGCACCAAACAAAGCAAAGAACTCTGAGTTCAACATGAAGCTTGCGTCATCAGCCGAGAAGGAAGGATTCAAGATGTCAGATGCTGACGAGTGGGCCTCGATCTTGAAGTTGGGAGCGGCCAAGGTTCTCACTCTCAAGGAGTCTCAAGCTGTCAGACAGCAGTTTCCAGAGCGCATCATCACAAGCAGAATGATCCGAAGGAAGAAACCTATGCCTGGCGTTGGGAGCTTCAAATACAAATCAAGATGGTGTCTGCATGGTCATCAAGATCCAGACAGTGGCACCTTCGAGATTTTCTCTCCAATGCCATCGACGGAGTCCATCACCCTATTCTTTCAGTTGAGCCTGAATTTGGGTTTGAAGGTGAGCTTCTTGGACATCAAGAATGCTTTCTGCCAGGCTCATAAGCTCGACCGTCCTCAGGGAAAGATCTATGCCATTCCCTGCGAAGGTCTGAACATTCCTGAAGGTCAGCTCATTGAGATAGTGGCTCCCATCTATGGGTTGGATGATTCACCACTCAGATGGCACAAGACTCTTTTGGATTTCTTCACAAATTTGGGATTCACACGATCCTTGCTTGAGCCATGTTGGATGGTCAAGAGAGAGAAAGACACGGTGGTGTGCCAAGTTCTGATAGAAGTTGACGACCTGAATATGGCAGCAACTCCAGAATATCTTCCTGTCCTCAAGAAAGCCCTCACCGAGCGCTTCATTTTCGGCAAATGGGAAGAGGACCAAGCCGATTTTGCTGGTCGTCACATTAGAGTTTCCGAGAACAAAGTCATCATGCACCAGGAAAAGTACATTTTGGAAAAGCTTCATCCATTGACCTTGACAAGGGGTAGGTTCTCAGACAGGTCCTCACCTCTCAATACCGATGAGTTCGAGCAATTTCGTTCCATGCTGTACAAGGTAAACTGGGTTGGTCATCAAACGCGACCTGAGGCTGCTGGAGTTGTGAGTATTTTAGCAAGTAGATTGAAAGAAGCTACCGTGCATGACATTTCTTGTCTGAACAAGCTGATCATTCACTTGCGGAAGACCGCCTCACAACCTCTGGTTTTGCACAAGTTTGACAACAACCGAATGACCCTGATAGCTGCTTCCGATGCCGGTGGAGTGGATGGTAAGCCTTCGTGTCAAAAGGGTTCCAAGTCCATGCAAGACACAGTGCAAGGAGCGTGGCTCATCCTAGCTGCTGACCGCGTGCCTTCAGCTTCACAGAAGACCAAGGTCTCAATTTTGACATGGCGTTCAGCAAAGTTGAAGCGAAGGGTCTCCTCCACTTTAGCGAGTGAAGCCTTGTCCTTTTCTCAAGCTCTTGGGGAACTTGAATGGATCCAGATCATGTTTCGAGATGTGCTATTTGGTGACGTTTGTCGGGCTGATTGGACCACTTCTCTTCTTCCCTTTGTCGGTGTCCTCAAGGATGACAGTGAGTTGAGAGCTGAGCTGCGCAGTAGCGAGTCGTTAGACCAATGCGTAGTAACGGACGCCAAAAGCCTCTTTGACTCATTGAGAAAAGAAAATCCTACTTCCAGACAAGATCGTAGGACTTCTGTTGAGATTGCTATTATCATTGAGTCAATGAGACGTTCCAAGTCCATTTTGCGCTGGACTCCACACCCTCGCATGATAGCAGATTCTCTCACCAAAGATGACATTAGCAAGACGAATGGCGCCTTAGAAGAACTGTTTAGAACAGGCACCTGGCTCTTTGGGATGAAGAAGACGAATTGGCTCGCAGGAAGAATCAACCATCTTCTAAAGCCAGGTCACGAAAGGCCTCTGAAGCCTTCCGCCAAGCGAGTGCCGATCTGCTTGTAGAGTGTCAACTCAACAAGAATTTTGGGGAGCTGTCGAGATTATTCACCTGTTTTGGATATGGCAATGACACTTTGAGTTGACACTTTCATTACCTCATGCCTTAGCCATCTCTAGCCTCATTTCGCCCTGCAATGATTACCCGCTGTTGATGGAAAAGAGTGCATTCTCCGCCAGCACCTTGCGTTTTGTCAAGTCAACACACCGTCTTTCGTAGAGGAGCCCGCCATTTGCAGGAACATCTTTTGCCGCCTTTAGTTCCAGCCCATTTCTATCACTGGATGCTGGTGCAGGGAGAGCATGCACAAGCGAGAGGAGCTGGTGCTTCATATGTTCCGCATGAAGGCCATGGGTTTCGAGGACAGCAGATTGACTGGGCCAAGAGTCAAAAGAACTATATAGAAACATGCAAGAGTATGCAAGAGTAGTATTTAAGCACTTAAGTGATGTCAGTGATGTCAGTGATGTCAGTTCAGTAAGATTATCTTTTCCATCCTTTTCCTATGGTTCTTTCATGTTCGATCCCATGCCTAGCTGGGACGTCCATAGGATTCCACCGCCAGGCTCTGGAAGAGCACCTCAACACACAGAAACCCAGGCGCCAGTGGCACCGGCAGCACCGGAATGTGGCTAGGGATCAGAACACATCGGAACCGATAGATACCATATAAATCCATATGAATCCATATGAAGATCCACAAATCCCAGCTATATCTTCATTGTTAAGCTGTACATTCATGTTCACCAGGGGTACAGAGTCTTGACCCATCCCCAAATGTGTAGAACAGATGGAACTGATGTAAAGAAACAGCTCAAAGAGTCAGCAGCGCTGGCCGTGACACGGTGAGTCTATGTGAGTTTTGGAGATGGGGTGATGGTTTCTTGCACATCTTGCACATTCTATCAGGTGGCGATGTGTTCTGGGCTCTGTGTGTTTTTCTGCTCTGGCCTGGGACCACAGAAGAGATGAACACCGAAGTTATGTTTGGAACACATTTGCTTCACAGGAGGGCATAGAATCAATGTAGCTGGAAAGGCTCGGTTACAGAACTATACAATGATGTACGGTATTCTGGCATTATACTGCAACACACTGCAGCTGCAAAACGCTGTCACTTATCACGCACTCACTTGTCCTGCAGGCATCACTGGAAGCTGCATGAAGCTGCAATCCACAACACACTGGGTTTGTCACTGAGGTGTTTCCATGCAGCTGCTGCGCTCGTCGTTTCAAGCGGCTTCGGTGGAAGGTACAGATCTCTGGGTCACCCTAGCCCAGAAGGAAGGGAGTGAGTACGGATGCTAAAAGAATGGAGGGTCAGAACTCAGAACTCTGCCAGCCGCACATCCTCGGCTCACTGAGACACCCCTGATACTTTTAGCGTCTTAAAGCTGATGGGAAATTCAACCAAACCCGTAGTGGCACATTGATTCCAGATTCCGATTCCGGCAGCCAATCCCAGCCACTTAGCGTTACTCGACCACTCGGTGCAGGGTGCATTGTGCAGAAGTAGCTGGGAAGAAGAAGCCTCCGAAGAGTTCCGGAGACAGCGCATTGTAGGCAGGGTGACGGTTGGTGATGGCTGAACGCGGCTATGTAAGTGGAATGTTGGTGAAACATGGTGAAACCAAGATCACATCAAAAGGTTCTGGCTGCAGTATCAGTCAGTAATTAGGCAACATTTCATCCGTGCAAAAGTAAAGTATGTTCTTGTGACTGTTTGCGGAGCACGAAAGGAGGCAGCACTTTGATTGTAGCATGGCGATTTAATAGAGTTTTCCATCCAGAATTTAAATCTCCAGCATCCAGCAACAGGACTCTGGGCTTTTCTGGATACTTCAGGGTGGTCTGCCGAGCACTTAAAGTGCAGCACCGTGAGAATGTGGGCACCCAGCATCCCCAAACATGCAAGTTGCTTTGCTGTATAGCTTGGAACAGAGCTACGTACATTTGAAGCTTCAGCAGACATCTTCCTCCATCATGGCCCATCAACAGGGATTGTCCGGGAGTTGCTTGGGAAAGCACTGGCCCCATCAGAAAATCAGAGGATCCCAGCGACTCTCCTCCCTTGGCATCCTTGGTGACTCCCAGGTGGCAGCCATGCAATTCCGAAAGCAGGCGGAAGGAGCTGGCGGCTTCTCGCTGCCGCACTTTGAGGACTGGATGATACGAACGATGTTTTAGCATGTTTTAGCATGTTTTAGCGTCATGGCTCTAGTGGTATTCGACTGGTTAATCATATTTGCCAGTAAATGGATGTTGATAGCCATTTTGAGGAGATGCCTCATTGTAAGATACCCATGAACCATGTGGGACACTGCAGAGTCTAGAAAGTTGAGGGATAAACCATGGATAAACCAAGTGGCCGGCTGGGGATGGCTGGGGTAGTTCAAATATATGTTCAAGTGGAAACGGTATGATTTGGGAAAGACGCCTCAGCCGAGAGTGAAGAGTGAGGCCATGGGATGTGAGACAGTCTGTGCATGATCCTGTTGAGGCTCCAACCGGACTGTACCCCTCTAGATCTTCAGAATTTAGATGAATTTAGTAGAGATGCCTTGTTTAGTCCACTGAGCATTGCTACATATTGCTACTATCCGATCCACCACAACTGTCGAGGCAAGGAGGGAAGGATAATCATGCAACTGGCTAGAACTAAAGGAGTGCAGGCCACTGATTCCGTCAGAAGATAGAACACTGATTGTGACTTCCATCTTGTTGGAAGGTGAGTGAAGATCATTAAGGTATTTCTCGGTATCACTCCGTACAGCCCGGTAAACCAGGTTAGCTGAATGGTCAATGGTTGCTTCATGTTGCTTCATCCTATCCACGCCATGGCGTTGCTGCAGTGGTTCCGCGGTACTCTGCGACAAAGCCTGCGCTGGCTCCTGTTGCGCCTTTGCGCGACTTGCCGGCGATCCAACATGATCCAACCAGTTTTCATCTGGTGAACCTGTGCCCCAGGCAACCTCAAATATCCGGGGTCGTTGATGATATAGTTGAATATGGTGAATGCCTTGACCAGATTTGATAAAAGTCACTGTAACATCAATGGAATATAGTGGAATCAATGGTCAAAGTAGAGATGACTCAGATGACTTTCCCACTGGTTGGCAGTTGCGAGTGGTTTCAAATGAGGCAGCCTTTGCTTCAGTGGCCACCGCCTTGCCTGCCGAGTCGTCGGAGGAAGCAGTGGAGACCAGGTGAGGTTAGATCTGTCCAAAAATGTCCAAAAGGATTGAAGCTAGTATGCATAATTACAATGTGTATGTATGTATATTTATACAATATTCCATTATATACCGTTATATACCGTTATATACCATTCTAATCCATAATATAATATAACATAATATAATATAACATAATATTATATTAGCGACGGACTGAAACTTAGAATGCCTCCGTGTTTGTCCAATATTTTACGGGTGCCACTTAGAATGCCTACATTTTGGGCTCACTTAGAATGCCTCCATCACCAAAACATTCAAACCTGCGAGCTGGACTTTTATGGGGCATTCTAAGTGCGCATGATTCTCGCCATATTTGGAGACTCTTTCGATATTTTTCTGGTCCGAGGCATTTTAAGTTGCAGTCCGTCGCTATTGGAGATATAGACTTAAACTCTTGATGGTATATATACTTTATTATATAATCCCCTGCTTTGGTGTGAATATGCTAGTTGTTGTCCTCTAAATCCCATTTGCGGCAGAAAGAAATCCCAAAAATGAATTATATATATTAATATATATATATATGTATATATATATATAGTGAGGGTTATTCAATATCAATATCCCATTCTGTCCCCATGTTATCACCGCCAACACCCAATGAAATCCGCTTATATATATGAAATCCGCTGGGATGGCGGCATAGCGGGCAGTGAGTGAAAGGAAACCAAACAAGTGCATAAAGGCAGAATGGGCACGATGCCATCTCATGAGATTTATATAGAATTATTCATATGAAATAATAAATTTATACAATCCTTCAAACCATGTTTTTTCATTAAAAAAACAGAGATGTTGCAACAGAATGATGACATTTGCATATGTTTTTGGCGGCATTCTACTGCAAAAAACAGAGATTTTGCAACACAATGATGACTTTTGAAAATATGGGGTTCAAATGGTTGACATGCTGCGAGCTGGACTTTTTGGCCGGAGGCATTCTATGTGTGGTATTCAATCTCATATTACCCTGTAAATTATCACAAAATTTACCTACGAACGATTCATTAAAAAAAGTCCAGCTCAAATAGCAGGTAGTTGAAAATTGCATTTTACCAGGGTTTTTTTTAAGATTTTGCTCTCGCGGCGGCATTCTTTAGGACTGGGCGAGCTGAAGGGGGCCGGCATTCTAAGTTTCAGTCCGTCACTATATATTGTATAATATTATACTACATTAATTATATTATATTATATTATATTATGTTATGTTATGTTATATCATATATGTATATATATATATATATCATATATGTCATTGTAAACCCAGTCCATATCAGTACAGTACAGGGTTGCTTGGTGATCATAGTGTTGTATTATTGAAGTTACATGTCTCCATCATTATCGGGTATGTTGAGTTGTATTAAATATTTTTCAATGATTAAATTTGATAATGTACATTAACACTCTTAACATCCCTTTGATGTTTTTTTTACACGTAAGGTTGGATCAAACTTGTGAATCCCAAAATAGCGGTGACTACCAATTCTGAAAATGGCCAGTAACTGTAGGTTGATGGTCCACAACTGGACATGCATGTATAACATGATAACGACGTAGACATGGATTTCACAGTGAGAAGCCTCTGTATGAGTTGAGTTTGTGATGCTTTCAGTGTGAGAGATTGTTCGCCAATATCATCCAGTATGAACACTTGTAACTAACGTGGTATGATCGTTCTGTCCAGTTGCACACCTCGTCCAAAAATGATAACGCTTGCTGTGGATGCAGGTAGTGTGTAGCAAGTCATCAAAAACATCCTTTGCAGTTGAAAAGAACATTGTTCTATAAGGACATATCTAAGTCTCCAGCCAATTGCGTCACCGCCTGATTCTTTACATAGCGGCTTGAAAGAAATACCCGTGGTTCTCTGGTTCTAAACTACATACCGCTTCCAAGATCCAAGTCATTTACAGTAAGCAGCTTGAAATTCAATACTTTCTGAAGGTGCCAAGACAGAGATACAACTGATACAACCATCAAGGAACTCAGGACCCCACACATTTTGTTGGTGATTTGGTGATTTCAGTGGGTGTTGCCAGGCGGCAGGTTGCAGAAGTTCGGCAAATGCTCACAGGCGGGACTGAATCTCGAGATGCGAGATGGCTAGAAACATCTAGAAACCAATGAGTGCCAATGACCGGATTTCCTCACAACTTCAAAGACTTCAAATCCAATCCGCAGGTTTCAATTAGTGATGAAATTTAGCTCCGCAACACTCGAGCTCTGGCAGTCCGGCAGGAGCAGAAGCCCGCTGCCAAGTGCAGCTCACGATACCTCGAGGGCCAAAGCCCATTCGCGCCTCAGCAAACACTATAGCTGAATTTCCCTTAGTATATACATATATGATTCATATATTATACTGTTTGTGCATGGGTTGGATGTTCGCCAGCGGGTTCGGATCCACACGCGCTTTCATTTTTGATTTAGAGCACAAGTCAAAATTGGATTCAAACATGCAACCGAAAGTAAGTTGGTTGACATGTTTTCAGGGCTGGGAGTCCATGCAAGGGTCCTAAACCATGTTAAATATAAATTGGAAGCGGAAGTACTTCTATAGAGTCAATTCCCAATGGATTGCTTCGGGAGTGTTCTTTCACTTTGGCCAAGTTCCACAATTCCACTGATTTGGGTGGAGGTCCATTCACCATTATCACCATGCCATTTGCAGCTACTTTTTGGCCATCATATCATATCATATCAATATCATATCAAATCATATATCATATCAAGCTGTTGTTTTTTCTACACATCGCAAGTGCCACGAAGGAATGTTTGTCGATGGCGTGTTTGACTTGACGCATTACGGCGACTCGCTTGTGCATTGGATGGGCATGACACCGTTTTGAGTTTTTAGCGAATAGCTTTTTTCAAATGGTGTCAGGTTTCAAGAGCAGAGTGAGTTTCATTTGCAGTGACTTTGTTTCACTGAGATATGGCTGAACAATGCTCCAAAAGACTTTTTTCCACGTAATGGCCGAATGAAACGATAATCAACAATCAACCATCTTACCTTTGCTTCAACCTTTCAGGTGACTGTTGGTGTTTCCAACATGTATGAACCAGGGTCGATTGACTGATCATCCTTACAATTTGATCATTGGATGCTTCGACTTTGCAGGTCATATGAATGCCTTTCGTCAAGCAAGGGCGCTGGGACAGCAACTTGGGTCCACCGTTCCTGCCATCAACTCTTCCCATGGCTGTTCTGATGCCTTTTGGATAGCTGTAGTTCCCAAGTTGGCAAAGTCAAGAGAACTATAAAGACTTATAAAGAGACTACTAATTACATCTAATTACTGTATACTGTATATACATCTAATTACATCTAATTACCAAATTTCATGTAAGAGGCGTGTCAACTCGTTTCGAAAGTTCACATTGACATCAACCACTCCTCACCCCCCCACGATCCAGCTTTCGCATAGGCATCTGGTGGTGGGTGTGAACAGCGACGAGTCCGTGCTCCAGGCTCTTTGCCTCAAAATTGGAAGCTTCCACATCCGAGGAAAGGGAACATGGAGATACTCCCAGAAGATCTTTGTTTCAATCTACTTTGTCTACTTTACCTCTTTTTGGGATTATGTACATGGCTTTGAGTCAATTACTGGAGCATACCCATCAAACTGCTACGACTGCTACGATGACATGCCACCATGCCCTGCAAGGCCAAAGGCTTTCTGCCGGTGCTGATGGACTCAGAGCGACAAGCTGCGGTGCTGGGCTGTCGTTTTGTGGATGAGCCACTTGGATCACTTGGCCGTGCTAATGACATCTAATGACAATGCCAAAAAGGATGCAACATGTTGCAAAAAATGCATATTTTGATGTGAGCAAAATCCGTCTAAGGATAGTTCCAGCGAGGCTTGTCTGCAAATTGCAGTTTGCAAGGATTGCTCTTTTATTCTTTTTTATTCTTCAAGTCTGTTTCATGGCCTGTGGAATTTGAACCCTTGAAACAGGGTTGTCAAAATCAGCCTCTGAAGATCTTTGAAGCAATTGGAGGTTCCCAAGGTGAAAACTCGTCGAAGTCCAATGAAACTATGTCGTGTTAGCGTGTTCAGCTTGATTTTCTGGCACTGATGTGCCTTTGAATTCTGGCTCTCCTTGTCCTCTTATTTTGTGTTCGTATATTCACACATGAACTATGATGAAGTGATGCTTTCTTGTCCGCAGAAATGAACAAACCGAGGTCTCCATATGTCATGTGCCTTGGCAATACATTCACAACATTGACCATGAAAATCATGAAACACGCTAGGGTCGCAAAAGGCAAGTTTTGGCAATGCCACTCTTTGGATCCAAGCTCACTGCATCATCCAATCTGAACAGGTTTTGGGCCAAGACCTTCACAGCCTTCACAGCTAATGGTTCAGTATACCAGGGATGATTGATGGATGCCTCATGATGCCTCTACAATCTTGCTCCGGACCACGCGTGTTAAAGATGATTTTGTTTGTATCCGGTTTGAAGACTTGAAGGACAACAGACATTCCGCCACACCTCAAAACAGGTCCAACAATTTATGATCGATTCTCTGTTCCGAGTTATTCCAACGTGTTCGTCTTTTGTTGTCTCTGAGGACTGCAGAATACATTGAGGAACTGGTGGAATCCAAAGGCATTGAGGCTTGTCTCAGAGTGTGCATGCGAGGCATTGGAGATGAGGCCCCGAGTGGACGCCATGGTCACATTTGTTTTTTGAAAATTTGACCCAAACCCGGTTGTTTTTTTTTGGACGCATATTTCCTCTCCGTTTGTTCAGCCCTCAGCCCAGGATTACTTTGTACACGGTGACGACCCGTGCGTGGTAGATGGCCGTGATGTGCAGCGTAGCTGCAATCCTCCTTGGTTGTCACGTTTATCTCTTGAGAATGGTGTGATTGTTCGCACGACAGAAGCAGATCTTGCTGTTGCTTGAGCATTCTGTAGGACCCCGTACATGTCAATTTGGAGTCGAGCGTGGGACTGCTCTCTGCAGCTTTGATACCGTGGCAGCTGCAAGGTATGAAGCAGCCCGAAAAGCAGGCAGATTCTGCACAATTCCAAGAACAGACACTGGGCTGAAAGCTGACGATGGAGCTTGAAGGCACAACACCCAGCTTCTACACTTACTCCTCCCTGAAAGTCAAGATGTCAGAATGTCAGGCCCCGTCGGCCCATATGGATTTCCAACTCTTTCTGACATTATTCAGAGACATGGTATTTGGTTCAGAAGATTTGATTTCTTTCCAGGTGGGGAACATATGGTGGGCAAGGCGGCAAGGAGGCTGTTTGTGCTGAGGAAGGGATCTCCACCACGGACATTGTTGGGCGCTTGTTGCTACTCACACAGGTGGGGTCGTCCGATTCCACGAGGGTACCCCCAAGTTGAAATTGGATGGTATGACCACAATCTGTGATCAGTTGGGCCTTGAATATCCATAATATCATCTAGGAATATCATAATATCATAATTATCCATATAATATCATATAATATCCATTAATATCCCATAAATAACACGCCTTATCTCCACACAATCTTTGGCTCGTTGCATGGCCAGGATCACCACATGGGGCATCTTGTAGATCAGCCAAGTCCAGTTTCCAAGCAGGGGGTCTTTGCGTGGCTTGACCTGAAGGGCATGGCATGTCAGCAAAATGGCACGGGTGAAAATTTGGTGCGCACAAAACCGCAGATGTTTGGCTATGCTTGGCGTGAACCATGCTGTTTTTTCGGGGCAACTTTTGACTGGCTAATATTGGCTAATATCAAAATTCATTTCCATCTGTTGCAGTGTTTCCCTCCCTCAAAGTAGATGCTGGTACTGAATGATGTACATTTTAATTGTTGAGGCATGGCCATTCTGTTCCATTCTGTGAGGCATTCCACGAATGACAGTTGTACTCCAGTGACCTTGGATAGCCCAGGTCGAAGCAATCAAACTTCTTGGTGTCTTGGCTGATCTTGGCTTCCAGATTCCAGATCATATAGGAATCATATATGAATCATATATGAATCATATATGAATCATATATGATCACATCAATAGAAGTAGTGAGATGACCTCTTTTCCCTGAGTGGTAAACAACCTTGGACTTGGCAGTACCGATTTACAGTACACTGGTGAAGAAATGGGGTATTTTACCATGGAGACATGACTGGTGAAGCCATGTGAAACTACTAGGATAATATTGGGATAATATGACCATCACGATCCCAGATAGGCCAGAAACAACATATGGCTATGGATCAATACCTATACATACCATTTTTAATGGGATGAACATCCATTTACCAGCTATTTTGATGTTCACCAGGGGTACAAGGTTTTGACCCACTGCCATATCTAAAACGTTCTAAAACCACCAACCAATGTTGAAATTTGCAGCTCAACTCTCGGTGCAGGTCACTTCGCAGCTACTCAGGGCATTCTCAGGTGCTTTGCCTGGACAGAAGCCTGGCAAGGCCGAACAAGTCTGGGGGACAGAAACGGTCCCGATGTTCTTTGATATTAATATAAACATATATAAACTATAGACTTATGATGTAAATATATGATGTGAATATGCAATATGCAAAAATCATGACTCAATGGGTTCTGTGCTAGAGGCTAAGTGCAACCACTGTGCGCTTTGCCACCTGCAGGTGGTCTATGTGGATGGCGCTTGGGATATGTTTCACTGTGGCCATGTGGCCCTGCTTCGAAACGCCAAAGCTTTGGGCGATCTTCTGATTGTGGGCGTCCATGCTGATGCGGTACGGAAGCTGAGATTTTCCGCAAAGGGACCACGAAAGGGTCTTAAACATTCTTAAACTACTTTGTCTCCCTATAGTAATGGACTTAGCACGTGTGAAACTCAACTGATTTTGTCCTTGTTGCTGCACTTACATGACGTTACATGCATCTTAAATTGATGTACCAGTCAATGAGCTTGTTGGGCAGATTCGGCAAGATTCACGCATGATCAAATCACTCAGCTTGTGTATGGTCATCGCGGGCTTGAGACGTTCCATGAGCATCTCCCGGTATCTCTCGGTGACAGGTGGTGAATCAACATCGTGCCTCAAACTATCCTATCATGAACATGCAGGAGCGTGTGCTGAGCGAATCTTGGCTGACTCAATGGTGAATCCACTGATGCAGCTGGTCTAATCTTTCTTGGGACATCTCGGGACAGCAATAGGTATTGGATGGTATTGCAATCTTTCAAGTCCTGTTCCTGCATCGCTTTTCAATGCCAACCATTTGTTTAATCAAAAAGTCCCTGATCTACGTTTTCTCTGGCATTTCAGGCATTGCAACCTCAGCTGGAAGTGAATGGTACCACACACCCAAGCGCCAGGCTGTTCACTGATCCTAGGTGCTTGGCTGCCGCTATGTGGATGACGTTTTACTGGATGCCCCATGGCAGGTCACGCGGGAGATGATTGCCACCTTAAGACTCTTGGTATCTCTTGGTGAAGGTGAAGTCAGCTTACAGTTGCACTGTTGAGTTCTTCAGATTGAGATAATCAGATGTTTGCGTTGCATTCTTTTGATTTCGGGCATTTTCTTTGGCCTTGTGTGCTTCGATTCATGGAAATCTGATGAATCTTGCAATTCATGGAAGAGTTTGTTAGATTTCTTGTTTGGACTGCGTACAGCTGCAAGGAATATCTGTGGTGGTTCGCGGCACGATTTGCGATACAGATGTGCGCGATGCAGATGATCCCCACAACATCCCGTGACTCGGAGAGCCAGGTCCGGTGATGATGAATTTCAACCAATGTTGTCATCTAATTTTTACCATCTATCTGGTCACTATGTGGTTACCAGATGGCTCTGGTTCCTGTTGCTTCTTTCAGCATCTTTCAGCTGATGCCTATGGGCCTATGCCTTTGCTCAGGAAGGAGATGGGCATTCAGGTAGAGTTGGACAGCGAGGACGTGGTTTCACATGTTTTCATAGTGGAATCCACCACTGTTTATAGGAAGTCGGGGGCAAGGGTACGATCCACCACAGCTTTCAGCGGGTCGGAATCCCTAGTGGATGGTATTTCTGCAGCTGGATCGCCAAAGAGCGTGAAGTTGTCCAGTAGGTTGCGATCTTTGCTCAGATCGGAGGAATCAAATGTTCTAGTAGGTCCTGTAACATACCCAAAGGCGCACAAAAACATACAAAAACCATCAAAAACCATCAAAACACGTGCCAGCATCCCCCCCTGACCCTAAGATTCCTTACTTTGTGCTTTTCAGGAATCTTTGTCCCTCGCAGTGATCGCCCAGCGCTTGCACGAGCGCCGGTCAGATCTCTTTGAGAGACACAGAAAAAAGGCGAATCTCGGCTGGCCACAAGACTGGGAATCCCGGGCTAAACAAGAGTGGATTGTTTGGATTCCCCAGGCTGGCAAGCATTGATTGCTTTACCATGCTTCAAACATGTTGAGAGGGAGAGGGACGGAGAGCGCGCGCGAGAGAGAGAGGGGAAGCTTGAATCATTGAAGACCCAACAACATCCTTTGAACCTACACCAATCAAGGAGCGTCCTTCAAGCATCTTAAAGCGGCAGTCATTTTGGTCTAAATCTGTGGTTGTTTAGGCCTAGGCCTCAAGATGTTAAGGTTTTTGCACATCGGCTCAGCCCAGGACTCAAGAAGATGATTGGTATCGCCGGAAGCATGGGCTCAGCAGTCGGAGCTGATGGTTGTGGGTGGTGCTTCAGACTTTTGATGGTCAGAGATCTGCACCTCAAAACTGGCACTTTTTCTTTCCGGATGTCACCTCTGAAGCACCTACCTAATTGTACAAAGAATCTGCCATCGCCGTGCCGAAAATGGGCATGGCTGATGTGCAACCAGCTGATTCCAAACAGAAAGCACACCGAGCTGCAATTGCTTTGAAATGCCTACATGTGCACTTGTGTTGCTATAGTACAGGACTGCTTTGACTATTGTTGTCCTGTAAGCAAATATGGCTAATTATTTGATATTGTTATATTATTGTAATTATATCATATATGAATTTTCTTAGGTAGTTAGGTCTATTGTAGAGCTTCGCACACCGGCGATGCCACAAAGGTTCCTGATCCCCGCCGATTCGATGTTCCTGTTCCTGTTCCTATTCCTGCGCTCCTGTTGTTGTTGTTGCTGTTGTTGTTGCTGTTGTTGTTGGTGTTGCTGTTGGTCTTGGTCTTGGTCTTGGTTTTGGTGTTGTTGCTGCTGCTGCTGTTGCTGTTTTTGATGACAGTGGGGATGCGAACGAGCGCAAAGCACGATGTAGTATCTCCCATTCGCAGGATGTCACTATGCCAGGAGCTCCTGAGGGAAAGGGATTTCCACCAGTTCCTCCTTTTGCTCCAGTTCCAGTGGCTACTCCACAGACGCCGGTCAGCGGAGCGAGTTGCCATGTGGACTTGTGAGGCCCAAACTTATGAATTGATGAGCGGTTATGCTGCAGCTAAGTCTGACACTGTGAGCGTGCGACAGCGACAAGGTCATGACGTGGTCATGGACTTTCTTACGGTGTGCAAAATTGTCTTTAAAACTTAAACTACACGGTTCACTAGACGTGTCTGTCTCAGCCGTCGCATGTTTGCATAAGAGACTACTCCGTCAGTGTCACGGCTTAGATAGCTTGCAGGATTTGATTTTGAGGGCCTTACAGGTCAAACCTTGCTTGAGTGCTTTAGTCATTTAGTTGTTTGCATGGGAAGAGGTTGGCCCGAGAGATTCCGCGGCAGCCGCCATGGCAATAACATTTCGATTGCGGTCGATGGTGCTTTCGACGGCAGGCATACATATTTCAACTACTAATAGAAACAAGATCTGTTTGTTCATTCGCCTTCCACGATTCCACGTTGGAAGGCCTTGTATGTGTTTCAGTGGCCCTGTTTTGCGGGCAAAGGCACCCACAGCCACAAGACTTACATCTCCTTGGTTCCAAGATGCATCAAAGATCCACTACAGAACACATTAGGAAAAATCAAATTTGTTTGCCCATTCGCCTCCCTAAGTTACGCTGTGCTTGTCGTTATTTTGTTGTTCTTGATCTTGCAGGGCCGTTGTTATCTTGTTGTTTCTTGTTATTCTTGCTCCTGCTGCAAGGCCATTATATTTAAAACTATCATTCCCCGTCGCGCTCCCCCTTGCCCTAGCCGGGGTCGGAGGATAGTATTTTTAAAGGACTTGATCTAGAATTAATATATAGCGGTATAGGACCAGGAATTAACAGACACGACGGCGAGGATGTTTCCCTTACGATTTCCCTGGGAAAATCATGTTAGGCAACTGCCTGGACTGCCCAATTGTCGGGATAGTCAAAATCCAACCATCAAACTCGGCAGGACCGCAGGGCGTGCATCAGCTGTGCCGTCCGGCGCCGCATGGGGGAAGCATTGGTTTGGCATGGTTTTGCAGCGCAAAACTGACTCGTAATGTTCTCCCACGGGCCAGGGTTCTTGGAGATACGGAGCGGGTGATATCTGGCCATACTGTAGTAGTTTTGTTTGGACGATTGTTCCCAGCCTATCAATGCATCCTTTCCTGGTGCAGTTTGGGTCAACATTCCAACTTACAACATTGTTACAAAACTTGTTGCATCCGCAGTATACATTGAGCGTTTCAGGTTTTTGTCTGTTCCGGTTAGCGTAATGTTGGCTCCTGATTAGTGTAGGGCCCCCCCTAAACAATTTTTGGATCCTCTTTAATTTGGAAAATTTTTGAGAGTCGGGTATTGAATAATGTGTGATCATTTTTTTTTTAAAGATTTCAATTCATTTTCAAATGATTTCAATTTATTTTCAACTGGTTTCAATTTATTTTCAATTGATTTCAATTGATTTCATTTGATTTTCAATTGATTTCAGTTTACTTTCAATTGATATCAATTTACTTTCAATTGATTTCAGTTTACTTTCATTTGATTTTCAATTGATTTTCAATTTACTTTCAATTGATTTTCAATTGATTTCAATTTATTTTCAACTGGTTTCAATTTATTTTCAATTGATTTCAATTGATTTCATTTGATTTTCAATTGATTTCAGTTTACTTTCAATTGATTTCAATTTACTTTCAATCGATTTCAATTGATCTCAATTTACTTTCAAATGAAACTAAGAAAGTAAAAGAAAAAATCTTTAGCAAAGGAAAAGGTAAAGGGAATGTTTGAAAAAATAATCACCTCAGGAAGCAGCGACCCCCCAAACAAACATACTATTGAGGATCAGGGTTGCTCATGGACTACCCCCTTGAAAAATTGTTGGGGTGCTGTTTTTTTTAATTAGGTTTTAATAAGGCATCCTATATAATTAATTAATTATTGCTGATGGGTCATAATTAACCTATTTAAAAACATGTTTCTTCAGACAACAGCTGGAGACAATAGAGGACCCCCACAACAAATATATTATTTAGGATCAATAGTGCTAATGAAAAAAACTGAAACATGAAATAATAAATATTTTTTTTGAACATTAAGTAAAAAAACAAAAAATGAAAAATAATAAACAAACAACTGAAAAAATGAAATAAAAAACTGAAACCATATTAAAAAATGAAAAATGAAAAAAACATGAAACAATAAATAAATAAACCGAAAAACATGAAAAATACAACCAAAAAACTTTACACAAGATAGCGACACCCCAAATCATTTCCACAGGGTCGGAATTATTTTGGAAAATTTTACACAAAAACGTCCCCCCACATTAATCAGGAGCCCACATTATTTTCCATTACGGGCAAGGAGAAACGAGTTCGCGTGTGTACTGGCTAGCTGACTAGCTCGCTGTTTTCCTTTCTGGGTTGCACGGCTCCTCTAAAACAGTCTGCAACAAACTGGACCACAAAAACAAAAGATTCGTCTTGACGGTGGGTGATTCGAAGTCAAATTGGCAAAATGCATGGAAAATCCGTTTGCGGGTTCTGCAATGAATAGATGCAAATATCAGAATTCTCGGTCCAACTTGTGCAAAACTGTTGAGAGGTCATTAAGATCATTTAAGATCCACTGTGCCGTGTGAGAACATGCATCATCTACTGCTGGCCGGAGAGTCACTCTAGGAAATAATGAAACCAAGATGAAACCAAGTATCATCAACCATCACATCTCATAACTTTCAATTCATATTCAACCCATGTCGATTACATAATAATCCATAGATGTCCAGCTGATCAAACTGAAATCCATGTTCCCTGAGGTTGGTGGCTTTGACCTAGCGGTTTTGTCCTTGGCCCTTGTGCGCCCCTTACTACACCTGCTATGGATTTGACACTTCCGTTCTCTTGATTGACACATGAAGATGAAGGTAATGTGGTTTCAATGAAAATCAGCACCTATTCACAGTCACAGCCACAGCCTTCTTCGAATAATTTGAATGATAGATAGCAGTCATCCCTACTCTATGTTTCTCCCATCAAAAGTGTTGCTTTTTTTGGGTTCTTTCCATCCAGTTCTCCACTTAGCAGCGCTTACAGGCGGACTTTGCCTTGATGCAATCGCCAGTGATCCAAGGTGGGCATCTACTTGCCGCGGCTCAACTATACCGAGGCGAGACTGCACAGATGGCTTCCAGGGAAGCAAAGATGGGGTGCAGAAGAAACTACAAACACCGTCTTGTAGGTTCCACCATGAATACCATCTAGAATCTAGATATCATTTATACATATTTATACCATTTAGATATAATTTGAATTTGTGTTAACATTTAACCCAATTGCCAATTGCTAGTTAGACATTTCACGTATTCTCAGACATATCGATGTGCACGCCTCTTCCCCAGTCCGTGTCAGTTGAGCTTCCTACTCTTGGCAGCTGTGGTCACCCTGTTACAGGCGCACTGGTTATCGCCACCGCTCATAACATATACGATCACCATAGATCCCGGATGCGTTGGATGTTCATTGGCAGTTTGGCACGCTTGACCGTTTCCATCCAAACATGCCGGTCCTAAAAACTTTGGAACCTGGGGATGTCAGTGACAACATCATTTTAGTGCTATCATGTGAAGCATATGCTCAGGTTGGCAGACCAGGCATTTTCCATGCGGCCAGTGCATTGGCAGTCCCTCAGATGCAGAACGCTGCACGCTGCGCATCTTCGACAGCCCTGTGACGGACCTTGGCTGAGGACGATCTCTTTTTGAATCCGCAGAGTCTTCTGGGCTTCTTCCTTTGCGCTGATCCTTGGACATAATTATTATGTACCAACACTAAAGGACCTTGCACCAGGGAATGAAGTGTGTGTAATCTAATCACAATATTGCTACCTACAATATTGTTGTGCAGACATGTGCAGACAAGGACATCAAGCGACATCATATTTGTGACACACTCGTACGTGACAAACACATACAAACCCCGGAGGAATCACAAATCGCAGCCACTTCTAAATGACTTGGGTCACGCAGAGAACTCTCCAGTCGCAGGTTTTGTTGCGGTGCCTCGTTATCGCCATGATTGGCTTTGGTTGTGCCAGTGGGGACCCCATTCCAGCAGTGCGGCAAAAGATGACGTGATTGGCCACTTCCGGTTCCAACAGGGTTGTCTCAACATTGGAAGCCACAAATCCGATTGGTTCATTGCTGCTTTCCTCATAGAAGTTGCTACTTTGGAGTATCACAATACAAACCCAGATGTGTTTCAGTTGCACCAGAGATGCACATTGAAAAAGCATCAGCTTCGGATGATTCAGTTTCGGGCA